TCCTACCTGCCCAAGAGGTGATCCCACTTGGCACGGCAGACCTCTCCTGACCCACCTGCTGCTCCCCTCAGCAGTGTACTTCATAGATCTGCCTGCTCTGCTCCCTGTTCTGTCTCTGGTGAATCCTCTCACCCTCCACATCTCTGGCCTGTACCCCAGTTCTGTATGAATAAATAAAAATCTTAAAAAAAATTTAGTTATATAATCTGAATCCATGTAACATATTTTTCTTTTTCTCATATTCACTTGGTGTTTGTTTATGGCTTTACCTCAACTAGTGCCAAAACATAGGGATCCTTCCTAAATTTCCTTTAATAGGAGGGATTTTTATTTGCAATATAGTATCTGTACTGTGCCCTCAAGAGCAAGCCATAGCTCATTTCCTTCACAATCCAATACAAGTTCTACTGGTCCACAGAACATTAACAGTTTTTTTGGAATTATATCCCCAAATTGTGAAGGCTTAAGGTAACTTAAAAGCTTTAAAGCTTTCTGCTACCACAACTCCATTTCTTGTTCTAGGGTATGTAAAACTGCTGAAACTAGATGATTAATTTTTTAAAAAAGATTAATTTACTCATTCATACAGAACTGGGGTACAGGCCAGAGATGCAGAGGGTGAGAGGATTCACCAGAGACAGAGCAGGGAGCAGAACAGGCAGATCGACGAAGTACACTGCTGAGGGGAGCAGCGGGCGGGTCAGGAGAGGTCTGCCTCGCCATGTGGTCACCTCCGGGGCAGGCGGGGATCGAACTCATGCGAAAGTGGCTTTAGTTTCTTAGTGCTGTGCTTTAACCCACTGCACCACCAGGGAGGGCCAGATGATTAATTTTTGGGAAAAGACACCAAAATAAGCATTACTAGCAAATTTTGGATGGCTGAGGGGCTCATCTCAGAACATGCTTTGGGGTTGGTGCTTTTTCCACAGGACACTTTCCTCTTGAGGTACTTCTCAATGATTGTCCAGTGAGATGCTAAGTCACAGTGTGGCTGCCCTCTGAGATTTAGGTTGATAATTATCAGCAAAGTAATCTGGCTTCACCTCTGGGCACCTACAGGTGGTAGAGTGATCATGTTTACTCAATCTGTAGCAAAAAATGTGGAGCCCAGTTTTTAAAAGTATATGCAGTTGAGTCTAATGCTACTTGAATAGCATGAATCTGTAATGTTCAGTTACCTCTGATTCAGAAACAAAATTTGATAATATTTCTAAAGCAATGAGAATAGTTAGGGAATATGAATTGTGACTCATTCTGAGCTATGCCAGATGAGAAGCAGAAAATCCTGTACAATAATATGGAAAAAGTAGAGTTTGACTTTTCAGGTAAGAAAACATCCCTCAGAGTAGAGATAAGGTGAAAAAGAGAAAACTATGAATTAAATTGCTACTCTCTTCTAGTTTATTTGTGTTCTAATAGTTGTCTTTTCTACCTGCAGTAATCTCATCTACAGAATTAGTTTTATTTTACAATTATAATTTGCTTCCAAAATGATCCCCTTTCAAATTCATATTTGTGGAAGGTGGTGAATAACAGGGAATTTAAAGTATCAAGTTCACAAAAGTTAAGATAGAAGATATGTAAATTTCATACCTTTTTAGATTGTAAAATTGAAGACTCCATAGTCACACATTTATAGTCTTTGGATCTGTATTTTTTTTTGTATTTTTTTTATTTGGATCTGTATTTTTTAATAATTGTAAATGAACTTAAATATTAACAAGTAACTGAAAATTAAAGATATTTAACTGCCAATGCTGATTCAGTTTTCATAAACAGATTTCACTAAAGGGTTTAGGTAGTCTCTTTCATTTTATATAAGTAATCACACATTTATTTATAGAGGCATACATTTATGCACTTTTTTATTAGGAGTGAATCTACTCCAACTCTGTTGACTTTGCTGAAAATCAAAGAAGAAATTCTTCTTGGTGAATAGTCTTTCAACTAACAGAATCAGGTTCAACTACCAATACATTTTATCTTTTGGCATAAAGAAATCACATTACTACAACAGAATTTTCTTTGGAAATGATATATTAAGTTGACTCTATGACTAGACAATTTTTTACCAAGCTTAGTCAGATACCCATGATTAATTCTGGCTGTTATTCAGAAAGAGCAAAGAAACATTCTGAATTCATGTGCTCATCATAAATTTAGAATTGTTGTCATGGTGCAAGATCAGACTTTTATCCTAACATTATATAAACATATTTGGATTGCCAAATATAAAACTTCTCTTAATAAATACTTCTAAATACTTCTTATATTTTTAGACTCTACTTTTAATAATTCCCAACTTATGAAATTGTTTTAATTCTTGGTCTGTGTACTAGTTACATGACTTCACATTCCTAAAATCAGCCTACACATTCCTAAAATGTTTGTATAGATTCTGCATAGGTTGTGTTCTTGCATATTTTGACTAGAGAACAGTTAGAACTGAATTCACCATTAATTTTCAAGCAACTGCCAATTAAAGTTACAAGAGCAGAATATTTCTGATTGAACTTTGATGCTGGAATATAATGGTCTGGGTGGTGAAAAGCAAAGAATTCAAATGATGTAAAGTTTAACAGTTTGGATATTGGGTTATAACCAGGAACACACTGAATTTGTCTTTTTGGAATACACAAAATAGTAATAAAGAAACAAAAAGATTAGAAAGCTGACATCAACCTAAATGCCCTACACATTTAAAAAACAGTATCATTGAAATGCTATACAAGAAACACTAAGGCACATACAAAAAGCACATTTCAAGGAATTTTTATAACACACCAGAGATAATTCTGAATGGGGGTTGTAGGCTACATGGCAATTCTGAATGGGGGTTGTAGGCTACATGGCAATTCTGAATGGGGGTTGTAGGCTACATGGCAA